ATTTTTGTTTATCATTAAATTCTATTGCTATTTGTAAAAAGTTAATCCTTTTTTTCGATATTTTATTTTTTAGATTTGGATTGGTTTAGGTTGGCAGGTTATGATAACTGACATTGCACATGCTAAAGCATTTTTCTCCGAGAGTGGTATAAATTATCATTGCCTTTTGAAGTTTTGGATTGTCAATTCATTTCTTAAAAGTTTATTCATTTATGTTATTATATTGTCATTATTGCTAAGCACACTCTCTTCCAAAGAGTGATATCCCCGAAAAACATCCAGTAAATATTTTCTTTGGAAAAGGAATTGGGTTAACGAATGGAGACGTGATTATCTTTTTTTATTAAAGTTTGTGTAGTATGGTTAAAAAATTTTTCATCCTTATGTTAAGCATTTTCATTTTAAAGTTCTGGGCACGACAACGAAGATTAGCAACACCAGTATTTAATCGAGCACTTCGTCCTGAAATGGTTGGAGAATGCACTAAGGACTTTATAATTTTGTTGAACAAATGGACGGATATTCCGTTGGATGTGTATTTATTAATGCAACGTGTTACCATTCAAGTATTAGGAAAATTAATTTTCGCATATGATATGAAAGTGCGTATTTATATAATTTATATTTTTAAATTATAACTTCTATTACATAGAATTCTATTTTATTTGGTTTAAAGACATACAATAAGCTACAGTGACAGTCGCATGACTAAAATTAATAGTGTAATAATAGTTTGAATGGCTTTAATCGGGTTAAAATAGAATCTTATTAAAAATTTATTGTTTTAACTAACCATAGAAAAAAAATCTTTGTTCAAACAAAGGCTTTGGATAACTTGGAGGAGCAACCATATTTTTTAAAAATACATAGTCAAATTTTTCGTTATGCTACATCTTCACCTTCTGCATTATTTTTACTTCTGCATCCTTTTAAAAAAAGTGACGAATTCTCTTTATTAATTAAAGAGTTTGATAATTTTCTATTTAAAATGATTGAACAACGAAAGCTTGAAATGTCTAAAGCTGAAAATGATGAGGAACATACTGATTTATTAACTGGAATCTTAAAAGCTGCTAGCCATGAAAAATACAATTA